CCCCCCCGGTCAGAAGGCACCTGGTGTGTATGGTGAGTGAACGGAGCAAACATTACTCGATGGACATATGAAAGTACAAAGATGCCACGGCGGTGTTGGAGAAGACTGACTCTCTTCTCTGCTTCCTTATCTGACGCTTTCTCGTCTCATGAATCGCGATGGACGGGGGAGGGTAAACTACGGCCGACATCTGAAAAAAAAAAAAATTGTGGATGGCATTGCACTGGAATGTCGGAGTAGTCATGGCTAATCCTAAGCGACGAAAAAGCCGGTGAAGAGAACCAGACTGTTGGTTCATCAGGTCATCACGTCAAAACGAGGGATCAGCAAAGTGTATACATACGAACTGACCCTGCTCCCCTGTCTGTCAGAGCGCTCATCAGCAAATGATGCAGACATACATTCCGTTCTAGTAAGAGACATGTCTCCTCCCCCTCCTCCCCATGACCCTTGAAATGGAGGGGTTCAAAGGATTGAAAGTAGCGGCAAACCAGAGGGGGGGAGGGGCATAAAGTGGAAGCATACGTATATGGGGGGGATCTGGCCAACAATTGTCGCACATGGACGCACCTGGTGGGAGTTGATGGTAGGTTGGTCGAATCATTCTGAAGGATTGCGATGGGGTCGCAACAAGAAAAAAAAGAAGGTATGACTTACATACTAGTTGTATAGGTATACAAGTAAAAGCTGAAAGAGAGGCGGTGAGCCCCCTGTGTTTGTGCGAGCGGCGCGCGCGCGCGCGTGTGTGTGTGCGTGTGTGTATGTTTGCGTAATGCGACGGGCGCAAGTACAAGGGGATTGAACTTGATTGATGTCGGTAGAAGGTTGTGAAGTAGAATATGGGGTCTGAAGGTTGAATGACGAAGAGGGGCAAGGGTGAAGGGGGAGAAGGCGGTGATGATGGTATATTAATAGTATTGATCACCGTTAGTATAGCATTGATTACTCGATGAGGCGAACTAGTTAGTACTTACTTGCACGTAAATACAGGAAATGTCAAATGTCATGGTTCTCCATCTCGGATAGATGACGATGGGGAGATGATGGCGCTCATGACGCGCCAGGGTTCCTTACCCCCCCGCCTCCTTCCCTCTTTGTAGAGTAATACGAATGCGACGAGCTACGACGTAATGCCATCTTGCCTGTCACTATTGCTGAACGCGAACGCTAATGATGCAGCGACAGGAGCAACAGAGAGAGAGAGAGAGAACATGGGTTCCATCATACAAGTCGATTGACGGAGACTCGGAGACACACACACATACACACAACTATATACAACTATATGTACACTACACAAACAAGAAAGAGAAGGACAAGCGCTTGATGCTGTGGGGCGAGGGATCGCCCAGAACCACCACACCACCACGTATGTCTGCTGATGTACCGCAGAGTCATAGAGAGAGGGAGGGGACCGAGATATCAGTCGGATCGACTGACATTCTTTCTTCCTCTCTGCGAATCCCCCATGGGAATAAAAAATGGATACCGCCGTCCTCAACTGTTCGCCCTAGTGGACCCTGCAGGGTAGCATACGTCAGTGTCTGGTCGTCGGAACATGCTCTCTCTCTCTCTCGTACGACCAAGTGCATTGTACGCACGGGCATGTATAAATACGATGTACGGCGGGATTTTACCCCCCCCCCAAAAAAAAAAGGTGGAAACAAGTCAACGGCAGTGCAGTCTGCATCTGGTCCAGTCTCTCTCTCTCTCTCTCTCTCTCGTACTATCCGTGAACATGTCTCAGCGACAAGAAACACCATGAGAGAAAAGAAAAGAAGACCCCCCCCTTTTATGCTGCAACTCTGCAGCAGACAGTCGCACATGAGAAGTAAGGGGTCTTTTCTGTCTGGTATGCATGCACCTGCTTCGTACTCGTATACATTGACAGCATGGGTATAATAAATCGAAAGAGAGAGAAGAGAAGAGCCAGATGATGCTGGTCGATATTGATACTTACAATAATAGTATTATTCCGTGCAAGGAGAAAGCCAACATCTCTGTTCAGTTGTTGGGCCCGTGCTGCCGCTGTGGTGTGCCCCGCTTGGCAATATCGGTAGCAAAATGACTCGCAGGCCAATCTCGGGCTTTTTTGGGCGCTATTAATCTGATGACCTTGTTCACTTGGCTTGACGACGAGTCGCCATTGTTATTGTTTTCAAACCGCTCTTTACTCGTACTTTGGTTCTTTATGAGAAGAAACAACAATGAACTTTTCCGGAATGCTCCGTTGGAGCTACTGCTAGTAGCATCACGCTCCGTACTGTAGTACGTGTATCGGTGGCCGGTAAAGTCTGGACTACGGGTCGCTCTATCCCATGCTGCGTATTTCAGAAATGTACGTTAAAAGGGGAACACGATGATACAAAATGTAAAAGAAAGAAAGGGAAAGGGAAAAAAAAAGAGAGAGAGAGAGAGAGAGACATGCCGTCACATTGTCGCACTGAAGTTGCGTCGTGACCCCATGTCTAAGCTAATGGCTGCATAGGACCAGGGGGGTGAGGGGCCACACCACCAAAGACCCCTCCCAACTCTTTCCTCTCTCTCTCTCTCTCTCCTTCTCCTTCTCTTTTCGCTCTTTCCCTCTCCTCCTCTCCTCCTTCTTTTTTTTTTTCTCCCTCCCCCTTGGTCCCTTATTAAATAAATGACGAGACGAGGAGGATCCAAAACCGACCTCTTGCCGGTCTGCCTGGGTTGATCTATCGTAACCGGTGAGGTGTGAGTCTTTCTCTGGGTTATCGACTTCGACTTCGGACAGCGGCTAGGCTTGGCGCGGCCGACGGCGTTAATCGAAATAATAATAGTCGTACGGAGTAGTGTGTTTTGATCGGAATATCAACTTCATGGAATATCATTCTAATACTAAGCCGAAGTAGTACAAACATACATCTGTTATTCATTACTTACTCAGTATTACGCCTTCACCTCGTACTTGTACGTACTCTCCAACATCGGATGCGCAAATGTGCACTAGATGTGCGAACTGTAGTGCTAGTTAGTGTATGCATCCTACGCTGATGGTGTAGACCATGTGAGAGGCAGCTGGTTGGTGACGGTGACGACGTCAGATGAGAAGATGTCGTCCCCCCCTATTAGCTTGTATCATTCAAGAAAAAAAAAATAGAGAAAAAAATTGGCCGAGCTCGGGGACCCAATAATATGAAGTAGTATGAGCAGTAGCCATGGTCCGGGGGCCGAGGGCGAGGCATGACGACAAACAATCCAATCGTATTACCCGGGTCAAATGAGGACGGTTGACAGGCTGGGATGGCGTCAGTTGGGTCAGCAGCCCCGATGACATACGAGCAAGGCAATCAATCAGTGACGCTCATCATCACGGCCGTGGTCATTTGTGAGCGTCGTACGTGCGACGGTGGTAATAGCATAATGTTCATCGCAATCTATGAGATTGCAGAGTGATACGAGTGCTTGACCATATACAAGATACAATATGCCGGCCACTATACGAACGGGTGCGAGGATGCTCACTCTACGACTGACTGCGGCGTACGTCTCGACACTGTATCCATCATCCTCTATTGCCTCCTACCAGCACACTCGTACGTGCTCATTGCGGCGTTGTAGTGATATCATAACTCGTAAACATGCGAGTTAGAAGCTGACAGCACTCACATGGCACACGGATCTAGTGACACGTCACGTGGGTAGCTCTGACTACGGGTTATCTTTTGAATTCGATGCGAGACAGTCCTCTTCCGTACATATATCATCATATATGAGTACATGTACTCCGTATTACTGGTATTAATGATAGCCTGCGAGAATCATGAACCTGGTGTTTGAAGAAACGGTATCCTCGCTGGGCTCGTCCCCCTTCCATTTCATATGTGGGGAGGGGTGGCACTATTATACCCTGGTCCTATGCAGCTAGCAGCAGCGTCCCCTCCTCCAGCAGAGTCGTCGTACATGTTTAGTCGTAGATGTGCCCAGCTGCGACGAGGGTCGGTAGTATTATATAGTATGAGTTGCTGGTATAAGCGTATATCGCTCTCTGCTGATGTTACTACCATAATGGAAACGACTCACTATTACCGGATGCTCACCCCGTAGTCGTACATAGAGTGCGATGTAGGAGTAGAAGAGGCGAGAAAAAAAAGGAAAGAAAAGAGAAAAGATGGGCGCGTGGCGGGCAAGTGAGGCTGCATGCATGGACAGGGGGGGGTGGGAGGAGCGCAAGGTCCCCTTCTCCTACTCCTTGCCCTTTCCCATGAGGACTGGGCATTATTTCCTCATAACGTGGGTTCTTGACAGTCGTTGGCCAGGACTTTTACGAGCACCATTAATACGGAGTGATAATTATATAATATGACACTAGTGATATCATGTACAGATACAGGACCACTACGACTATTACGTCGTACGTCTTAACTAATGATGGGATCCATTGAACCCATCCGTTAGTATCCGTACTCGTAGTCGCTTCGTTTATTCGATCCGCTTGATATTAGTACATGTAGTAATAATAGTTAGTACTCCGTATAGCTTTCATTATAGCCGTCGTAGTAAACAAACAATGGATGGAACCTCCGTGGGCTGTAATGCTTATTACGCTACTAGAGAGGAGAGAAGGGGGGGGGAAGGGGGTCCCATGGTGTTAGCGGCTGAGCATACACTGTAAGCTCCCGCCTGTCAGCACATCGTTAGCACTACGACAAGAGTCAGTCGTTCTCTCTCTCGGTGCGTGTGTGTGTGTGCGTGCGTGTGCATGTGTGGCAGAGCCCACCTATCCTTCAAGTGCCAGCCAGCCAGGTGTCCAGCATCATAGGACATCCAGACACCAAGACACCCACCGTGGCTGTAGCCTGTAGGTGCCAGCCTGTAATGATACCTGCTAGGCCTGCTGGATTTACAGTGGGGAATAGTGTAGAGCAATCCCTGTCAACGCAGCTGCAGCCAAGGGCCACTTGCATTAGCGCTCGCTTTAGTCTGGTGGTCCCTCTTCTCAGTTCCTCTCTCTGTTTGGTTCCTTCTGTGTCTGTCTCTCTGTGTCCTGTCTCTCACTTGGGCTCTGGCTCTGGCTGGTCTGGCTCTCTTCATCTCTCTGTGCTGCCCCATACACTGGGGGGACCTTGTCTCTCTGTGGTGGTGATGGTGGTGGTGGTGGCTCCTGGCTCCTGGCTCCTGGCTCCGACTCTGACTGACTGCTCCTCTCTTTTATCGTCGCGACTCGCCGTTTTCCCTACTCCTCCTCCTTCCTCCCCTCCTCCATGCGTGTGTGTCTTCTCACACCTCGGCCTCATCTCTCACCAAGAGAGGCAATCCTCCTGGAGGAGTCTTCCTGGGTTTGATAACTTCTGTTTCTTCTGTTTTCTTAACCTGTATTGTTTATCTCTTTTTCACTTCTTTTACCTGTCTTCTCATTCTCTACAGTCTCAACCCTCCTCCCGCACCTGGGACTACCTCGCCCCAATTCCTCCGTCGTCGGCGCCATCTCGACGACAACCTTCTTTCCCTCTCTACTCTCGGGTGACACAATATCTCGGGGCGAAAAAAAAAAGAAGGGACGAGATAATATACGTCTGGGTTGCTGCCTGGGAAGTGATACGGTTTTGTGACTGTTATACCGTGAGTCACTTTTTCTTTTCTCTCCTGCTTTTCTTCTTCTTTCTACTGCCTCCCAGCTATCGTTCCCTCACCGTTTTTCTCCCTCCGCCCATATTTTGTGCCTCTTGTCGCCCGTTTTTGTTCGTGTTGGTTCTCGTTCTAGCTCCCCTCACCCCTCTCTCCTTGTCCAGCTGCTGTGTACGCTCTGCATTCTTGGGACAAGCTTGCTTGTGCTTGTATCTCCACGGCAAAAGTCTCACCTTGTTGGCTCTGGTCACCTCGCACTACATTCTTGCACCTGTCTTTAGCGTGACGAGACGGCGGGGTTCGTTTCTCGACCCTCCCCCCCCCCCTTCCTTTCGACTAAAACCTGTACCACTTTGCATCATGTCGGACCAGTGTTGAGAGCCAACGCGGGGAGCAGCTTGCGTGATTCCATGTTTCCCGCGCCAATACAAATCTCCCCTCCCCAGCCTACGCTGTGCTTGCTGTCCTCCTTCCTCACCGTCTTCCTTCGCTCCATCAGCTTTCGTTTGGCTTCTCTCATCCAGTCCCTCGACCGAGTATCGGTCGTGGGTACGACGGTGCTTGTTCTTTGTACGCCTTGCACTTGATTTGATGTCTCTGTTCTTTTTTTGCACGCAGCCTCGATTTTGGAAAGATCCGTTACTAACGTGGGGTACTCTTATTAGACAGACAAGCCGACCAGAGAACCAGAGCTGAACTGCCTCCTCCCTTCCCATCCCCGGGCATCCTTCGAAACTTAATACCTCTCTTATTCATATTCGAACCAGGGTGGCTCAACTCCGACCTGGATGCTTCGAAAGTCCTGAATTATGAACTCAGAAGACGGAGAACTGTTTGTCAAGGTACGTCACCTCTGGACTTGTGACCTGCAGTATCAACCCATTATATACGCTGACACCGCCCGCAATAGCAATTGGCTGGCTTTGTGCGCACGCATGAAAAGGCCCTTGCCAATGCTGCTCAGTTTCAGCGCCGCACAGCTCGTCATCGCCCAACCCAGAGCACCAACTCTGTGGCCGCCGTGCCCAGCTCTCCTTCCATCCCCGAGCGACCCGCCACCTCAGCTTCTTCCGTTACGACCCCGCTTGCCACTACCTTCTCCCTCGGCTCCCTCGGTTTGGCCTCGAGTAGTGTAAAATCCGCCAGGCTTGCTCTCACGCCCCACCACCTCTTCTACCTCCTTTCGCGCTTCGAGGAACTCGGCATTGCCGTGGGACCTATGAAGATTCGTCTCGAGAACCTTCACTCCAGTTCCGCCTCGGCCAACTATGTCTCCTTCCTCGGAAATACGCCGCGCCCCAAGGATCCCGATGCTGTCTCCATATCCTCCGTCTCCAGCGTCCGTAGCGTCATGTCCAGCATGTCGGCTCTGTTTGCCAGCTTCGGCATCGGAGCCAGCATCTCAGCTGCCCGGACCGAGCGCCAGCAGGCTGCCGCCCAAGCCGATCTTAAGTACCTGTACTCCGCCTTTACTAAGATCCCCTGCCTCCGTCTGGCCCCTGATTGGCGCGCCCGCTTGATCCGTGGATATGAGGAGTTCCCCTTCGACTCGGCCGTCCCCCTCTACGCTTTTAAGAATCTGCAGGCCCTGGAGGTGAGCGGCATCGATTTCCGCCAGTTCTTTGGCTGGGACCGCCTGGCTGAGCAGCTGCGCTCCCTGACCCTCAAGCACGCCGGCATCGATGATCCAGCCGATATCCTCATCGACATCGTTCTCGACGACATGGACAAGCGCCGTCGCCGTACCTCCAAGTCACAGTCTTCCCCCGCCACGTCGTGGGGCTTCAACGGCAGCTCGCGCAGAGGCTCCGTCGTACCCGAGCTGCAGCGGTCGCATACTGTTCCCACCTGGACCGACCCTCGGCCCACGACCCATGAGCTTGGCGTTGTAGGCTCCCTCACCAGCGAACATGCCATAGACGACGGTAGCAACTCGGATACGGCCAAGCCCCAGGGGCAGCAGTGCCATGGCAGCGACGATCCCGCTGTGCCTAAGTCGCCCGTCAAGGCGCCCACCCGCCCCCGCAGTAACTCTCCTTCGCGACTCACCGGCTCGCGCAAGAACTCCCACCAGCATACCCGGTCCTCGCAGCGCACCCAGCGCTCCGGCTCCGGCAGCTCCCATTCCAGCCTTTCCGACTCTTGGCACCACCACGCCCGCAGCAGCAGCTCCACCAACCTCCTGTCCATCGACATCCTCCCCGCCTCCAAGTGGCGCTTCCTGCGACACCTCTCCCTGGCCGACAACTCGATGACATCGATATCCTCGACCAGCCTGGCTCCCCTCTCCAACTCGCTCTACTCGCTGGACCTGTCGTCCAACCTCTTCGCTGAGATACCCGACAGTCTGGCCTCTCTCACGGCGCTCCGGGCTCTCAACCTTTCCCAGTGCATGATCGACTCGCTGCACTCTCTCACCCGTAGCCCCCTGCCTGCCATCACTGCTCTGAACCTTCGCGCCAACCGGCTCCAGTCGCTGGCCGGGGTGGAGAAGCTGTACCCCCTCGAGCGCCTCGACTTGAGAGACAATCGCCTCACCGACCCCTCGGAGCTCGCCAGACTCACCGGCATCCCCGACATCCGCGAGATCTGGGTCGAGGGCAACCCCTTTGCCCGCACGCACAAGGACTACCGTGTCACCATCTTCAACCTCTTCCGCAAGACGCCCGGGTACACTGAGGATATCATCATCGACGGCACCGGCCCCAGCTACTCGGAGCGCCGCAGCCTAGTTGAACGCGCCCCCATACCCGACTCGGTGCCCGTCGTGAAACCAAAGGCCCCCGAGGTCCCCACCGTCGACATGTCCAAGCCTACCATTGTATATGGCTCTCCCAAGGATGCCGCCGTGGTGCGCAGGGAGCGACCCACACCCAAGGCAGTCTTAAGCGAGGTACATACCGGATCGACGCGCCGCCGCAAGGCGCCCAAGAGGCGCATCATCGACCTCGCAACGGGTGGGGATGTGCCGGCCGTGCCGCCCCTTAACATACACGTACGAAATGATGCGGCCGCGACGTCGCCCGTCGATCGTTCCGATTCGGCTACCCCAGAAGAGAACAACTACCGCATCTCGCATGTCCCGCAGACCCAGCAGCTCCAGCCCTCTGTCATCCTGACAGACACCCGCAAAGGCAATGTACCGCGTGCAGCTGAGACCAGCGGCGATGCGGCGACAACGGCTACGGGTCGTTCGGAGAATGTTGAGAACACGACCAGCCCCACCTCTCCAAAGTGGAAGGTACCTGACAATTGGCACGCCGATGCTGAGAACTACCGTCTCAAGATTGAGACCTTGCGGGACAAGGTCGGCGACGGATATCTCAGCGCACTGGGCGACCAGGCCTGGGCCTCGAATCCGTCTCCCCCCACCACCGTCACCGCGCCAACGCTGCCCACGGGTGGTGCTGTTGGTGGTGCAGCCATCAGGCCAGTGACACGCAACGCGGACTCTGCCCAGTCTATCCAGACTATTCACGACGGTCGCACCCTAGGACAGCCTCTTCCCTCATGATGCTCCCACGCATGTCGGTCTCTTTTCTACTCTTCTTCACTACATTTAGAAGAGCAGGTAGATCCTCTTTTTTTATTCTTTATTCTTGACGATACCTATGATACCCGCTTTTTTCGACATTATTTCTTTCGGACGTTTTGCGTGTCTCTGCCAGGCACAACATGCGCCCGCCTACTTTCCCCCTTTCTTATTCATAACGGTTCTTGCCATGTTTTTAAATCATATTAGAGCATGGAGGGTCCAGAACTCTTAATTCTGCTCTTTTATTCGCCACGTCCTGTTGGTGCATGCATTTGCTTTGCACGCATTGTTTCTTTTCTACTCTAGAGATGAGAGACGATAAATCCTGCTGCAGATTTTGTTGTCGCGTCTGTTCTTCACCACCTCTTGCTTCTGCGCTTGTGACTTTTCTACAACTTGCTTCTTTCTAAACACACCTCTTCTCTCTGATGATCTTCTGCAAAAGGCGTTTTTTTTTTTGGGAGCTACGTGTATTCCAGGTTTGTTCACTGCGATTGATTGATTATTTCTACACTACCTCGATCGTGTTCAGCTGCGTTCTTGATTTATACGTTCCCTGCCTTTCAGGGTGGCATATTGTGTAGCATCTCAGTCTTCCTCTGTTACTCTTTCGATAAAAATGTATTCGAGTTCGACCTTTCGGTCTAATGCTTTCATCACTTTCTAAACTTGCTCTCCGTGAAGTCAGCCACTGTGTGCTGTGTGCATATACTCCTGAGCTGTTGCACGTGTCCGTGTAGATTCAAGATGTGACCGAAGTGGATTAAGAAACGGTATAGATGTCCGAAAGTGTTGTGTTCTACTAATCTAAATCAAGACCTCTCCCACATCTCAAACCGATACCGCACACCAGCCTCGTCCTGTCCTTCCTCGGCGACATCTTCCTCCCCCGTCCACTCTCTCAACTCGTCATTAGACTTTTTGATCCACTGGGTCCCCGCCTGTTCTGCCGAAGCGTCTAGAGTGACGGGGAAGAAGGTATCGCATTCATATTCGGCGTCGATGGAGGTCAGGAGTATCCTCTTGGCCTGGGGAAGCGCCAGGGCAGAGTGGTATATCTGCGCTCCGCCCATGACGAAGATCCGGTTGACGTTGGCGGACCGGGCGACCTGTAGGGCCTCGGTGAGAGATGAGACCCTCACGGGTCCTGCCTTGTTTTCTGCTGCTGCTTCTGCGGACAGAGAAGGAAAGGTTGTCGTTGTTCCTGCTGATCTAGAGATGACTATGTTGAGACGATCTTTTAGGGGACGGAATTTGGGGGGGATGGAGTCCCATGTTTTGCGGCCCATTACTACGGCGTTGAGACCGGGCTGGCCAGGCTAGTTAGTCGATGGCAAACACACGGGGATAATAGCAAAAGAGAAAGAAAAAGAAAGGGCTCAGGGGATGAGGAAATATTGAAGTACGGGAAAGAGCTCTGAGGAGAAAGTAAGAAAAAAAAACCATACACCATTGACACGCGTCGTTACACGTGCAAAGTATTGCATCTCCTTGCGAAGACCTTTCCACGGCATGGAACCATTCAGGCCGATGCCCATTCCCCGGGCTGCGGCGACGATGAGGGTCAACTCTTGGGTCATGATGAATGGAAGCGTTCTGGGGGGGGGTCCTGAGCTGGTGTTCTCAGAGTTGACTGATGGAAATGAGGAGGGATGACCCCACGGTGTTGAGGGCTAGGAGGCAGCTCCACTAGTCAGAGAGAAGTAAGAGCTTGAGAATCATGAGGCAGAAATATAACGGTAAAAGATTAAAGAAAGAAGAATACGAAAAGAACGAGGTGAGAGTCTTGGGGATGAAGCTAGAGTGACGGATGCTTCTAATTCCGGTTTGGAAACACGCACGTTCAGGTTGAGTGCTTCGAGTGCTTCAGATTTGGACTTCCCGACTCGTTTTGCAGAGAGAGGTAATAGAGTATGAAATCTATCAAATTGGCCTAAAGCGGTAGCATGCCAGAGTGGTTAATGGGTGGGACTTGAATTTCCGGATAGATACTCCCTTTCGGGATTATCTCTTCTACTGTGACTCCTATCCCATGGCTTCGGCCGCGCAGGTTCGAACCCTGCTGCTATCGAATTTTTTTTTGCGGGGTTTTGTATCTTCTTTTTTATATCTTATTATTGCATTTTATTTATCCCTTCTGCCTTGTTTACAGATATTCTCAAAATCTATAGTACTCCTAGATACCTCAACAATAGATCAGTCGTCAGTCTTTATGACTGATAAAGATGTTGGAGATAATAGGTAAACGGGCAATAAGTGAGTGAGTGCAGACCAGTATAGCGTACAAGATACCTGTACAGCGTACAAACGGGTAGGTGTTCACGATGGCCGTGGCGGAACGAACTACCAGTAGGGTCATGACTAATACTCCACGCGCAGGGGGTGGCCCGTGCATCAGCACTTCACGCGTCCACTGTTTTCCCATGGGTAGCAAGATGCTTGCCAGCCAGCCGACGTCACGGCCTCTCCCTGGCGATAAGTCATCGAAAACCATCCATATCACGTCCGGAAAGGGGGCGCCTATCGGCACGTGAGATTCGCAAGTGCCTCTACCGATTCTGTCTCCTGGCGTGGGATTTTCAACAAGAACGACGCTGCCTAGCCCCCCCCCCCCCCCTCTCGTCGCGAACGTCCCCATATCACCACCCGCCCCTCCCTCAGCTGAACGAAGACACGATTGGAGAAGACAGCATCGAGAGCAAAAACTGAGAGAAGAATCGAAAGGTTTGGCCTCTACCCCGCAATGGCCATGCCTTCCACCTCGACCCCATCACGCCGTACACCGACCGGAAGACCTCGGGGCAGACCACCGGGCACCACCAACGCTGCGCGGGCAGCAAGGCAAGCGTCGCTAGCGGCGGCGGCGGCGGCGGCTGCCGCGACAGCCACGGCCTCGGAGCCCCCTCCTAAGAGGCGCCGATATGTGGCCGGCAGCCGGTTCAATAATCAGTCGGCGAATGTGAGCACACCAGAGCCCATGGCGGCAACGGCGTCTCGCAGACGCGCTGCGGCCTCGCGCAACTCGTTTACTGGAGGCGGCGCGGCCGCGACGCCATCCACCCTCCCCGCACGCGAGCGCAGCACGCGCATCCGCGCTGCTGCCGATGCCGCGGCTGACGAGGAGCAGTTCGGCTTTGCTGCTGCAGTCACTGCGTCGGTCAAGCAGGCCGACGACTACAAGCCTCGCGAGGAGCGCAGCTGGGAGGAGTTCCACCCTCACCTGGATATCGAGAAGTGCTTCATAGTTCTGCGGTCCGAGGAAGTCGACGGAATACTGCCGTCGAGTAAGCAGGAGCCTGCTACGCTGCCGGAAAATGCGACGACGTCAGCGGTTCTGGCAAATAACGGGTCCATGACACCATCTGCCAAAACACCGAATCCCGCGTCGACGGGCGACACACCACAAGCCCCTTCGCAAGGAGACGATAAGGCGGCAGCGGCAGGGGCTGGTGCGCCCATGGGGACGCCATCACGTCGTCCGCGCAGACCGACACGCGACGCGGTCAGCTTCTACGGGGTTCGCCCGCTGGAACTGCCCGTCCTGGCAACCCCCAAGACACCCAAGGTGCTGCCGATCAAGAACCAGACGGCGAAAGAGAGGCTGGACCTGAAGCAGCCATCGTATCGCAAGACGAACCGCATAGAACTCTTCGAGAGCAAGACGTTTGGCCAGGCCCGCTACGTCGACAAGGCCATGAGCAATGTCGGATATCAGGAGAGTGACCGGTTTAACCGTCCGGAGCCCCAGCTCATCAAGGCCGTCGATGCGAACCCGGAGGACGGCATAGACGGCGTGGGCGGGCTACTGCCGGACGGCGCTACCGACATAGACGGCGGCGCCTACCACCATCATCCTCACAACCCCAACCAGTCGCGCTTCGGTCGCGTCGAGTACGACATGGACGAGCAGGATGACATGTGGTTGGAGCACCACAACGCGCTGCGCAGGAGCAACGAGCTTGAGGCTATAACGCGCGAGCTGTTCGAGATCACAATGACCAAGATTGAGAAGGAGTGGCACGCTCTCGAGAGGCGCATCCCCAAACCGAACCCGAAACCCCCGCAGACGCACCGTCCGCGGTCCGGGTCCGCTGCTGCCGTCAACGGCGAGCCGCAGGCCGCCGCCGACGAGCCCGACACTAAGTGTGCCATTTGCGAGGACGGCGACTGTGAGAACACCAATGCGATAGTGTTCTGTGATGGCTGTAATCTCGCGGTCCACCAGGAGTGTTATGGTGTGCCGTTTATCCCCGAGGGTCAGTGGCTCTGCCGCAAGTGTCAGCTCTGCGGAAGGGGAGTCCCGGTAAGTTCCCTGCGCATCTACGTCATGTTGAGATCGGAGGGGGAGGACGAAACAAACAGATGGCTAACGAAGTCGTAGACATGCATATTCTGCCCCAACACCGATGGCGCATTCAAGCAGACCAACTCGTCCAAGTGGGCCCACCTGCTATGCGCAATGTGGATCCCAGAGGTGTGTCTGGGGAATCACACCTTTATGGAGCCGGTCATGGACGTGGAAAAGGTTCCCCGGACGAGGTGGAAGCTCAACTGCTACATCTGTCACCAGAGGATGGGTGCTTGTATCCAGTGCGGTAATAAGAATTGCTACCAGGCCTTCCACGTCACCTGCGCCCGCCGCGCCCGCCTGTTTCTCAAGATGAAGAGCCCGTCAGGCCAGCTGGCCGTGCTCGACGGCGGCATGATGCTTAAGGCATTTTGCCACAACCACTGCCCGGCCGACTACACCGTCGAGCACGACGTGCACAACGCCACCAGGGCCGCCAAGAAATTCTACAGGCGTAACATGAAGGGCCGCATCTGGGCTGGTAACCACGCTGTAGCCAACGTGATTGCGGCGCGGCAGCGCGAGGAGCACGAGGTGGATGAAGCCCGGATGCTCGCCGGCGCTGTCTCGGACAGCAACAGCAACGGCAAGAAGAAGGACCCCCAACAGCAGCAGCAGCAGCAGCAGGAAGGGAAGAATGTGTGGAGGTTGCCGTCTGGTGCCCCGGTCATCCCCCAGGTCGTCTTCGATACAGTCGAGTCGTCCCTCCTACGCTTCACTTTCCGCAAGCGCAAGGACTTCCTCAGCGAAGCCTGCCGGTACTGGACGCTCAAGCGAGAGGCGCGGCGCGGCGCGGCCCTGCTCAAGCGCCTCCAGCTCCAGATGGACTCGTTCACGTCGATGGAGCTGACCAGGCGCAACTTTGCCGCCATGGGACCCGACGGCAAGGAGAAGCTGTCGAGAAGAATCGAGTTTGCCGAGATGCTAGTCAGGGACCTGGAGCAGCTCAAGACGCTGTCGGAGGAGACGGTTGAGCGGGAGAAATGCAAGCTCGAGGCGGCGGAGATGGAGAGCGAGTTCGTGGACGAATGCTACTTTCCCGTGTCTACTCTACTTGTCCCGGCAATGAACAAGGCCCTGTCGTGAGTTTTCCCCTGTCCTTGAAAAAAAAAGATGAAAGAAAAGAAAACGAAAAGAAAAGAAACCACCCCCCCGCGCCCCTGGGGGAAAAAAAGAGAAGATAGAAGCTAACCATACATCTCCCCCCAGGCTCGACAGGGACCTCTTTACGGAAAGCTTGAACCCCTTGCAACGTCGCGTCGAGGAACGATACTACACCAAGGCGCTTGCGTTCGCCCAAGATCTCGGTGATGTCATCAGCGCAGGTATCGCCACGGCACCACCAGGGCCCGATACGGACGCACTCGGCACCGTCGCAGGTGTTGTCGCAGAGGGCGGACTCGGCAGCAACGGCAATGGAAGGAGTGCGTTTGCAGATATCCGTGATCGGCGCAAGCTGGGCAAGCGCATCCTCAAGGCGGTGCAGCCCCTCCTCGAGACGGCGTTGCGCGTCGAGTCGGAGATCACCAGCCAGCCCTTTGCGGCCCTGCAGAAGGCTCTGGAGGCCAAGATCGAAGCCAGCATCAGCGCTCATCAGTCCATCACTGTGCGCCCCAGCGACAGTGGAAACAGCACCATCATGGTCCGGGCGGACAAGATTGGGTCCTGGAGCAAAGAGGACACGGACATGACGGAGGATGGAGACAATATCGAGGTCAAGGCTGCGGCGAGCAGTGTCAACGGCAACGGCAACGGCAACGGCAACGGCAACGGGCGCGGGAACGTCAATGGCGACGGTGATGTCGAGATGACTGATGCTACTCTCAACGAGTCCGTCTCTCAGCACCACCCATCACCCAACAGTACGGGCTACGACGGCAGGGATACCACTGCTGGTGCCACGACGACGACGACGACCAACAATACCAACGACAACAACGACAACAACGACATCAACAACAATAACAACAACGACGATGACAACAACAACAACAACAACAACAACAACAACAACAACAACAACAACAACAACAACGGGCTCCCAACACCACTTCGATCCAACGTCAGCCTTGGAAAGGACAGGGACGCCCTCTCGGACGGAGGTATAGTCTGGTATCTAAAGGAGTTCGAGCCATACGGTACATCCATCCTGAACATGATCCGTCCTCATAAAGAAGCGGAAGAGGAAGAAGAGCCGGAAGACGAACAAGAACAGCAGCAACAAGCCAAAGCCACGACGGTGGCAGCTCACGCCCTCCCCAAGGAAGACACGGGGACGCTGAGCGAGGATCTGACGGATCCCGACGATGACGAGCTCAAGGCTCTAGGGGCGGAAGTCGACCAGAGTCGTCTCTCGGCGGCGGCGACAGCCAAGCCAGCTGTGAACAGCACGCCTAGGGGTAAGGCGAACAAGGTGGCTGCTACGCCGCGTAGGACGTCGGCACGGAGAAGGTGATGCTATCACCCGTACTCTTCCCCCCCCTTTTTCTTTCATGTCATGTTTTACACTTTAATATCTCCTCTTCTGCTCTCGGTCTTTCTACATGTATCATAAGCCAGGCGCATGGAAAAAACACTTTTTTTTTTTTTTTGAAATCTTTGATGTTAGACTCGATTTCTTTTTCATAGGGAGGGGGAAAGGGATTATAGTCGGAGGACTGTTTTGATCTTTATAATCTTGTTTTGTCTTGTTTCAAGGGTAGGTACCAAGCCAGGCGTCGGGGTAGGTAATGATAAGTGTACGAGTAATATACCTTGTGCGTGTGTACGTTTTCGTTGAATTTAAGCGTGCTATGATGGTCCGTGGACGATGATATTGAGATAGGGCCGGGGGGTTGCACGACGAGTATAAGAAAAAGTAAAGGTGGCGTGTCTCGGGTCGAGATGACGTATCAATCACAGCATTACAAGGTGTATTTTGGATGAAGCTGAATATATTGGGTGATTGAGGCAGTGTATAACCTTTATAGTAGTTTAATTTTGTCTCGATGGAACAGGAGCGGTTCATCACAATCTTGTTTTAATAGGCAAAGGTTGGTTACGCGGCGCGGTATGGAGACGAGGACTGTTATGGCTACGAGTGTGTAGGTGGAGGGAGTGAGAGGTCTATCAAGCATCCGTACTCGTAGATATCTGGATGACAGCAGAACTCGAGAGGATTGAACAACGACGATCTCTCTCGACCCTCGCACGGCTGACCGCTGTACCTGAAAAGATTCCAGGTACGTGTACGAGTAGCGTAGTAGCAGTAGCAGTCCGTCAGTGGTATGAATACAAGAGTACAAGAGCTGTGCTATTCTTGCCAGCAAGGAAGAGAAAGAGGTTCCAGAAATGAAGCGGGTCTTCCAGCTCCCCCCCCCCCCCCCCAAAAAAAAAAAAAAAAAAGGGAACTTATGTTACCATGTGCTGATATGGAGAAAATTTGATATAGTGCTTCCCGATGAGAGGAC